CAGTTTTATTAAATGGTTTATCATAAAGAATTACTAACTTTCTAGCTTGCAATATCTGTGTTCTCACCCGCTCTCAAACCTTAGACCAAACCTTCATTTTTTTTTTATTATGCTGGAGTCCACGTCTAGTAACCAAGTCATGTTTCATTTCAGATGAGATGCCATTAAAACATAGAAAGAGCCTAAAACCCAGCATTTTATACAAGATAAAAATGTATGTCTCACTAAATATCAAGTGGTAGGTTGTTCATGATTGGCAGGACAGGACAACTCTCCTATTCTCAGTATGTGACTGCTATCTCTGGATTCCGGGAAACAGCCTTTGCCATGACACAACTATCAGAAAGAGGGAAAGATTCCAGAATATTGCATGCTCTATTCTTTAAGGACAAAGCCAGAAGTACCAAATATATTCTGTTTAAATTTCATTGTCTAGAGCTTAGACACATGATTCTACCTCTCAAAAGGAAGGCTGAAAAGACAATTTTAAATTGGATGAGCATGTGGAGCAGTTGAAACTCCATTGTGGAACCGGGTTAAGAAAAGATAAGGGGTGGCAACTCTTGGGTTGATGTACTACTGTGATTCAGAAACAAATCTAAATATTTAAAGCAGGAAAAAATCATTAATACAAAGAATAGACTGCTTTTTGCAATAATGATATGAAGAGCCACAGTTGTGGGCTCTGGGCTGGACCACAGCACAGAGAACTGACATACCCAGGGACTGAGATCACCACTAGAACTATCACTAATGAACAATCCACTTTAAAAGCAATTTCAAAATTAGAAAGCTGGGAATTAGCTGTCACTCCCTACTTTTGCCACAGCTACCTCTCAACACCAAGGGAAGTGAAGAAGAGCAGTTTTACGGCAGTATTGCTGTAAAACACAAGATCTTCCTTGCCAGTAGAAGAGAAAGAAAGAAAGAAAATAAAGAAAAAGAAAAGAAGGAGGGAAGGAAAGAAGGAAGGAAGGAAGGGAGTGAGGAAGGAGAAAGAGAGGGAGAGGGGGAGAGAGATAAGAAAGAGAGAGAAAGGAAGAAAAGGAAGGAAGGAAAGAAGGAAGGGAGGGAGGGAGGAAGGGAGGAAGAAAGAGAGAAAGAAAGAAAAAGAAGAAAGACACTCCTTGCTTGTAACTTTTACCTTGTATACATACAACTTCTTGGTAGAACCCAACTCTCATCCTGACTCTCAGTTGCAAAGGCATATGGGATGTGTCATTTTTAGCTTTTCAGAAACTAGAGTCAGTCATGTCCAGTAGGGAGAGGGTTGGAACGTCTACATCTGCTCCTGCTGAACAGTGGGCACCACAGAAGAGCATATATTATTAAAGCATTATTTTTTTTCCAAATGAATAATGAAAACAGCAGATGACTATTCAATCTACTTCTTTATATTGTATATATTTATGGTGTACAACATAATATTTTGACATATATGTTGTGGAGTAGCTAAATAAAGCTAATTAATACATACATTACTTCCTATACTTACCATTTTTTTTTGTAGTGAGAATACTTAAAATCTATTGTCTTTACACATTTTCAAGTATACAGTGCATCGTTATGAACCATAGTGACTGTGTTGTACAATGGACCTCTTGGACTTTGATCTCCTAACTGAAATTTTATATCCTTTGAGCAATGTCTCCCCAGTCTCCCTACCCACAGCTTCTGGTGACCACCATTTTACTCTCTGCTTCTGTGAATTTGACCTTTTTTAGATTTCACACATAAGTAAGATTATGCAGTATTTATTTTTCTATGTCTGGTTCATTTTACTCAAGATACTGCCCTCTGGATCAGCCATGTTGTAGCAAATGTCAGGATTTCCTTCTTTTTTAAGGCTGAAGAGGATTCCATCATGTATATGTATTCATTTTACTTTATAATGAACCTTTCATCTATGTTGATTCTCTAATAATGAATATCCTTTTAAAATAAAATGAGTGGATCAAGTTTAGTTAAAAATGTTGAGGCTCAGGTTGTATAAGGATTAGAAATACCAATATCAATATTTTGTTTATTTATGCTAGACTTTAAACAAATAGTATTTTGGAATGTCTAAAAGCCCTATCTTTATAAAGAATTTTATATTCTACTGATTCATTTTTTCCTTCTTCTCAGGCTAAAGTGATTGAATGAGCAATTCACTTTTTAATAGAGCAGCAATGCAGCTAGCACTTAATTTCTAAATAACTTGATCAAGTTTGGGTGAGGTGGCTCATGCCTGTAATCCCAGCACTTTAGAAGGCCTAGGTGGGCAAATTACCTGAGGTTAGGAGTTTGAGACCAGCCTGGCCAAAAAAAAAAAAATAGCTAGGTATGGTGGTGCATGCCTGTAATTCCAGCTACTCTCGAGGCTGAGGAAGGAGAATTGCTTGAACCCAGGAGGCAGAGGTTCCAGTGAGCCGAGATCGTGCCACTGCACCCCAGCCTGGGCATCAGAGTAAAGACTCTGTCTCCAAAAAAAAAACAATAGTAGTAATAACTTGATCAAAACATTTTCCTTTCTTTGTCAGTTTCCTATATTTAAAATAGTAATCTTCAAGTAGCTGCATTATTATGTGCAACTGCCTTTTTTTGTTTTTCACCCAGGTACTAATTAGGTTGAGGTCACTCTAGTAAGCAACAGAGTGGGAAGCTGTTCTTGAAGCTTCATGGTAGCAGAAACTTTGTTGGCCTTTTTCACCACATTATAACCAGTACTAGGCAGCTGCCAAGTACCCAGTAGAAACCCTATCCGAACTTTTGACTTAAAAAGTGAGATCCTGCTTTAAAATGGGTATATACAAATAACATTAAAAATAGAAGGAGATGGAAAATGCTGAGCATATGTAAAATCTGCAGGTAGCCAGCTTCGATCTGAATCACAACTCTTTATATTAAATTTTAAAGACAGCTTTGCTAAGTTCTACCTACTGGCTGAGCGAGTGTTGAAAAATCTTTCCCAGGTTTTGAGCAACACTACAGGCTGATGAGTAAGGAATTTGTAGAACTTATCTTGTCGTGTGTGTTCTGAAAATTGAGACATTTTGAACAAAGAAATTACATTTGCTTTAGAGTGCAGGGAAATAAGCCTATTTAGAAAAAATAGGTTATATATAATTTGACATTGATTTCTTAATGTAGCCAAGCAGGAAAGTTTTAGAAGGTTGTTCATGACACTTAAAATTTTGCATTTTACGATAAAATGCATAAACAAAATAACCTAAGTCATATTAATACAACACATGGAAAATCAAACTTACACTGTAAAGACTGCTTTTTAAATAAAATTTGTGTTACATTGTAGAAGGTTGATAATTATGTCTTAAATGCTTTACCTAAAAAATGGAGTAGAATACTACCGGGTAAGACAGAAGGCTTTTCGAGTTTAAATTTTAGGCATAGGGCATAGCCATGAAAAAGTAAATTTTAGAAAAACATAATCGTTCTCTGGATTTTACTTTTAATTAAAAGTTCTACTAAAAATAGGTAATCATACATGTTAAGCAAGGAAAGATAAAATATTGAAGGACATATTTCAAAGGAAACAAAGTACAAGGTACGTTTTTGTACCCTTTCTTGTTAATGAATAATGACTATCAAACTGTTCTAACCTTAATCTTTCAGTTTTATCAAGATTAGATTGTTCCTTTTGAACCCAGTCCAGCTCTCATAAGTCCTCCTGCAAAATGTATGAGCCTACTTTAATGTGTGATAAGAGATTTGTTGATCCAAAATGTTTCCATTTTGGAAGGGATGATTTTTCTTAAATAGTGGCTCATTTTAGGTATTAATTTAAAGAGATCTTAAGGGTATAGCATAAATGTATTTGGATTAAAAAATCACTATATGTAAAGTTATTTTTAAAGTCATCTATCTCTCCAAAGTTCCAAAGCTAAGAAGTGCAGTCCAGGTAATTATTAAAATATAAAGGTGTAATTATTTTCCTGTATGGCATCAGCCTCCATTTCTAGGTCAAGCTCCCATTTTTCTATAATCTCTCACAACTTTGTAGCTTTAGAACAGAAGGGGTAAAAGGTTGGGGGGTGGTGCTCCACAATTTTGAACGTTCAATACTGTAAATATCTTTCCATGAGTAGCCCTGAGAGTGATATAATTCTCAACTTTCTATTCTCTACCCTTCTATGTAAGAAATCATTCTTCAAGAAAACTAATATAAATGTAAAAAGAAGGAAAACAAGAGGAAAAAAACAGCAACAACAAAGAGATACTACGACATATTTTGGAAACAAAGAGTAATCCAATTTATTTTTGTTTCCTAAAACTTTCTCCCAGTAAAGCAGGCCTACTTATGGCCGAACCTATTTTAACTGGATTCAATTATATAATTTCTTGTGTTGTCTCAAAATCTCCATACACTGTTCAGTTTCAAGAGCAGTACACCAAAACAAGAAACTACTCACATCTACTTGCTCATCTTGTAAGTATTGTTTTATTTGGCTATTTCTTTTAAAATGTTATTAGATTGAAAATAGTATTTAAATTAAAATGTACTATGGGTCCTAAGGTTAAATAAAAAATTAATATTTTTCTAAATTAGAAAAAATTGAACTTATTAAATTCCAATTAAAAAAAAATCTTGATAGTTGAAACTCACGGAATGGCTAGAGTACCTTTTTCAAGGGCTCACCTCTGCTCCTGCAAATTGAGACCACTGGTTCCACCACACCCAACCACCTCCATGTTCAAATGCATATTAACCTTAGCTGTAATTTGAGGGGAAATATGCTCACCTTACACATTTTTCAAAAATATATTTTCATTTGTATATTGCTGATCGGTATCTTTGGCCTAAATTCTGTGTACCAGAGAAGCTAATTTATTGTTAGGTTTTTGGCTTAAATCCTCTATTCATTATGTCAGTGCAAACTTTTTTTTTTTTTCATATAACCCTCAGGGTTCAATGAAAAATAGATTTCCAAACATGCCCAACCTGCCAAACCGGAATAAAAGCTTCCAGTGGAAGCATCACGTTCCCCTGAAATAAAAGTGTTTTAGCTTGTGTGAGTGTATTTGACTCTTGAAAAGAAATGAGATCGTGTTTCATTTCAGGAAGATATATGCATCAGGTAAGAAACTAAAACAAATATACTTCCTATATTTAACTAAATACATGGCATGATATTTCAATTCAAATATATCATTGAGGCAAAGTAGCTCTTTAATTATGCTGTGATATGAAAATTGTAGATGAATTTAAAATCTGAATGAGTTTGTGCCATATTTTGAAACAGAAATATCCAGCTTGTAAATATTCCCTAAAATCTACAACCAGAAGATAGATCTTTCCTGAAAAAAAATGTATTCTTTCTTTTCCCCTTTCCCTCTGCCTCTTTCTTTCTCTCTCTCTCTCCAGCTAGCTGACACCACAGGTTGCATTTGATATCATACCATTTCATGAGAGCCTTGAGCTGATTATTTCATTCATGTCTGCTGATAGATTTTTCCTAGTGTAAACTTTTAGTGTCTTGAAGCTCGTGCCACTAGCCTGTAGATGGCATCCCCATGATGGCCCACAGAGAAAATTATTGTTAAATGGAAGGTGGAATTTCTTACTATATGGGATCCAAACTAGCAGCAACTCCTGCTGGAGAGAAGCTCTGTTCTATTTCCATTTTTCTCCCTCTGTGCTTCAATGAGCTATCTCTTTATTGGTAGCTCACTGAGGCCAGTGTGAACCTATTTTGTGTCTCAGTTGCCCCTTCTGTTCTCACCTGATGGACAATTCTATTTCTGATGCTTGGGATTAAAGTTAGAGAGAAGATATACCCTATTCTTTCAAGCTAATCATAATATATAACTTATATATAGTGATCACCTTTTTAAATGCATTAGCTAATGTAATTATTGCATATTAGGAAACAGACTCAGCGAGGTTAAGGAACACATACCACTCATGTTATTAAGAGCTTGGATTTTAATCAAGGTTTTCTTATTCCAACTTCAGGGCTCTTTCCATGACATGTTATTTGTTCTTTATGCATGTCTATCTGCCACCTGAACCAGGTGGAAAGCAAGTTTGTGAATTAAGCATAAGAAAATAGTGAGCATAAGAAAATAGCTCATCATAAGCGAGCTGGCCAAAAAAAAAAAAACCAACAACAACTGTTACCTCCTATAGAAAGGGTTCATAGTAAGTAGGGTGAGTCTTCACTGATTCACTGAAATAAACAAGATCCTGTGATGCCATTGTGAACCCCAAGGCTATGATTTCACTTTTTCTTCTGCCAGAGCTGGGATCATTTTGGTTGTGAGGAAGCCCTCTTCAAGTAAGCAAAATATGGTACAATTGTCTTAGAGGTTAGGAAAAAACTGGGATGAAGTAATCGTTTTCAATCTGGAAAAGCATTGCATTGTATTTCTAACTAAATTATTGCTGTTTTCCGAATGTGTGATCTGATGAAATCGTATACAGATAATCATAGCAAAAAAAGAATGATTAAATTATTTAGGCATAAAACCATTTTAACTGTTATCAGATCTTAGCAATAGACCTTTTATGACAAAATTTGTGCATTTTAAATTATTATGATTTAGTTTTCTGTTGTCTGAAATATTTTCAAGTTTTTCAGCTATAAAATAAGAGTGATGTGTATCTTTGAATTTCTTATGCAAAAATATGTATTTTTCTTAGCAACCTTATTTTTTATCTCAAAGTTTTTCTAATTTTATTGTAGTTTTTCTCTGGTTGAGTTATTTAAAAATGTTTCTTAAGTTTAAAAACATAAGTTCCCTTGTTAGTTATTTTTACTGATTTTGACTACTTTGGGGACAGAGAAAACAGTTTGTATAATACTGACTTTGAATTATATTAGAATTAGCCAAATATATGATCAATTTTCATAAGCCATCCTTGTCCTTAAAAAGAAGGTGTAAATTCCAATTATTGGATACAGTATCATATATGTTCATCGAATTAAGCTTATTAATTGTATATTTTTGACTGCTCTCTACAAATGATATGAGATCACTATTACTTCTATTATAAATGTGGTTATGTTAGTTTCTACTTGTAGCAGTATAAACTGTTGCCATTTAAATTTCAAATGAATGATTTTTAAGTGTGTATCTGTGATATGCACCTGATGAATTGAATTTTTACCTTATAAAGTATTCTTCTTTACCTCCTGAATTATTGTTTCCAATAGTTCTGTCTTTTTAATATAATGAGACACGTTTTATGTTGTTGTTGATATTATTAGAAATTGCCTGTGATACATTTTCTGTCTTTTTAATTTTAAGCAATACTTGTCCTTTCATTTCTGGTATATCTGTAACAAATCTCATTTAGCTTTTTTCTTAATAAAATATAACAATGTATAGATTTTATATGACATAACCAGACATTTGCATTTATATTTCTGATCTATAGCTTTGCATTTCTTCATGTTAGAGAACATTTATATTTGTGCTTCAGCTGAAGATAGGACAAGGAAAATGTTTGTCTTTAGCTGACTGAAATCAGTGCCCCCTTTTTCTCATCCTCTCTCCTCACTTATGGAACTTCCTCCAACTTGAATGATGTTTGTTGTTTTCATTCTTCTTCTTTTTCTACCAGTAGAAAATATATCCTCTATTATCTGAATATACATTTATTATCTGAAAATTTAACATGCATTCTTCAAAAATCAAAATTTATCTGTATCTGTACTTTCTCAGTACAAGAATTTTTAAAAGTTGGATTACTCAATCCCAATTTACATAGCATTATAGTCTAGTATTTAACAATATCTTACTCATTTTGCTTTCCAGATTAGAAGTTGTTATTATTGTTTATAAAAACACTAGTTCAGTTATCCATGTATTAACTACAATCGTCACTCACCTCCCCTTCCTGTATTTTCAGACCTTCCTGGGATAATTTTCCCTCCACTCTTAAGCGCATTCTTTAAAAATTTCCACTAATGGTAATGTTCTAGAGATAAACAGGTTATGAGAACACATTTTTACTTTGTTCTGCTTTTCGAAATGCTGTTTTGTTGAGTATTGGCTTACATTCTTCATCTAATTTTTTTCCCAAGATTATGTTGGCTTCCTCCTTTGTCGTGATAGTTTTTGCTTAGGTTCCATTATGATTACTTTTTTGTTATTATGCATCTTTGAATAGGAGTAATTTCTTTCTTTCCTGAGATGGTACTTTTTGGAGTACTGTATGTGATAACAAAAGAAGAAAATCAGCTGTGTGAGCAGACAGGCTGAATTCAGATCTATTGTTTCTGAGCACTTTCTCATCCACACTCTACCTTTTGAGAAAAATCTCTCTGGACATGTGGAGAAAAACCATCTCCCTGGCTCACAGTGCACAGTGTCTTCCGCAGATTGAGATCACCGTCATCACTCTTTTCTCCTCTGTCTTGCCAGACTAATAGCCTGCTGTAAAAGCCTGCATGGGACATCTGAACGCTTGCTCACTCAGCAAGCCTTTTCCTCCGTGATTTTGAGAATTGTCTTTCTTAGGGTCTTATGATAACATTCTCCTCTCATAGTACTGAAATAATTTTATAAGCATCAGCTTGATTATTGCATGGTTGTGTGTGTTTTTATATATTTGTATATACACATACATGGCTATTTATTCAAACTCCAAGGAGAAAAGACTTCTCTAGAATAATTAGTGGCAAATTTTTCTTTAATCTGTACTTCTGTCAGTTGGGCTCTGGTTAAATCCATTTCTCAAATATGTCCTTGATATTTGGTTTCTGATGTGAGAAAATTATTTTTTACATTTTAAGTATGTTCATTTATGCTTCATCATTTTAAGAAATTATGAATGAATATGAAATTATGAATGAATACAAAATTAAATGAAAAACAAGTGTTTTGTATGATTTATTGATAAACTACTTATTAAAGGATTCAATCTTTAGCAGATGGAAAAGGTAAACGTACAAAGTATAAATATAAAGTTAATATTAGTTAATAAATTGAGCTGAGCTGGTTATAAGATTCCAAAAGTTTCTATTAATTCATCTTAAAACGCACAAACACTTTTATCTGATTCATAAATGCCCATATCTATTATAACTTATGTAAAAATTTCAATAAAATGGTCTTGATGCTTTTAGCCTATAGTTTTCTGTTACTAATATTGCCTCCCTTGCTTTATTTTGTATGTCTGTGTGTGTGTGTCTGTGTAGGTGTGTATGTTTGAGTGATATATTTGGCAATACTTTTAACTTTGCTTTCATATATTATGGATTTCTGTCACAAAAACTATATAATAGAAAATTTATATTTGCATAATGTTTTTCATCTTATTAACTGCTTATATTTTTCATCATTAGAGATGTAATTGATCGCACAGGGCCCATTCTCTTTGCTATTCTTAAAACATACTTTTAATTTCCTATATTCCTGTTGAATATAATGTAGATGTTATCACATTTTGATTCCTCTAGCGTTTTGGAAAATATGCACAATATTTTTCTCCAACTAATAGGTCTGTAATACTTACCAACTATATATATACAAACAAATATATATGAACTAAAAAATCATTGGTGGAAAGAAAACAGCATATTTTATCCCCTTTTCTCTTGTAAGACAGAAAATTTAACATACCCTTCAGTTTTAGTTGAAATATAATCTAGGATTCTTCATCTAGCTTATTAATATGGAGGAATTGTTTAAATCATTAACTTGTATTTCCAATCATTATTTAGGCCTAGTCAATCTTAACTAATTTTTAAATAGTTATTATTAGTTCCTATTTTTGAGTTCTTATTTTGATTAAAATTTTGTGGCCTGATTCACATTACTCATTAGAAATGCACAAAGGTTTGTGAGCACTTACATATGTTCAAATATGTTTTAGTGGCTCTCACATACAAAAGAAAAATTGAATGCTTGTTATAGAACATATTTACCTTTAGAACTAGGTAGACATAGTTCCATTATCTTAAGGCAGTTTGTCTTTAAAGGTAAAGTATATGTCCAGACAGATTTTTCTTTCTCTTCCTTTTTCTCCCTCCTATCTTCCTCTCTCCCTCCCTCCCTTATTCCTCCTCCTCCTTCTTCTCTTCCTTTTCTTCTTGTTGAGTAAATGCTTTATTGTTAAAATTTCACAATA